TTTTGCACTCTGGTGTCAAATAGCATCTTTGGAATAAGAGAGTAAAACAACAGGAAAACTCCAGTAAATCATCATAGCCCTTAAACACAGTGCTTCAGGAAGATGAATACCCTGAAAAAAATCTTCATTCTCGCTTGACACTTCTCTATTTACTTTATTCTTTTTACAGAATGGTCACCATTTAATGAGCAATTATGTACAATATTTACTTGAACAGTAAAGTGATCTCAGTGACTTTAATGCAAGCATTATTCTAAGGGCTGCGCTATAAAACAAAGAGAAAGTACTTTACCTCAGGATAATGTTACAGGGAGAACTTCAGTCAGCAGAGCTAAATTTAAAAACAGTGCTCTTACAAGATCTAACAACTTGCAAATTTATGATCAGATCTGGCAGCTCTTTTTCAGTCCTGTTCACTGTACAGAATTCAAATGGTGTGATAATACCATACATTTTAGCAGAGGTTGTAAAAATTAACTATAAAATAAAACACAGAATATATCAGCTCTATCTTCAGTAGTTCCACCTAAGCATCATCAGAGTAAGATGGAAGAGTAGATTCATACTCTTTAGGCATCTCCTTACTATTGTAAATATAAAACTCCTTTATCCCCTTTATTTCTTCCCTCATTATTTTTCTTATACCTTACTGTCAATACAATTTTTACTACTCCAGTACAATATGTAATATATTGTGCTGATATTTTATCTGTTACTTTATTGAAAAAACAATCGATTTCTAGTAGTAAAAAGGAAATATTAGGCTATTCAGGAATGGAGGCCTGTTTTCCTCGTATCTGATTATAGTTTACAGTAAAATTAAAGCAACTTTATAGTCCCTTATCTAAACAAAGGGATCCCAATGACATCAATAGTTACTCTGCATAAGAGAGTTGTGCATGAAAGAGCTCTCGCTGCTGCATCCACCTTCACCACACAGCTTGGGGAACTAGTTTAACCAAGCAACATGGACAGAGCCAATTCTAAAGATGGACTTAATACAAAAGATATTCTGCTATTTCGGCTAATGAAGTTAAGCTTGAGTCATAAGAGAGGGGGGCATAGAAAGCAAAATCTGAGATAAGCTGTTTGAATATCCCTGACAATCTGAGCCAGACCCTACCAGAAGTTAGAGAAGCTGCTGAGCAGGAGTTGGCACCTATAACTGATGCAAGACCTTGGGCCAAGAGGACTACCAGAAAGGTTTAATGTGCTGTGTGCCTCACTTTCTTTTCTTTGCTTTTTGATGTTAAACTTGGTGCAGTTATCATAGCATAAGGACACAGGCAAGGCAGAGTTTGTGAGTGCAGATAATATCTTTATCAGAAAAAAAAGGTATATTTGGAAAAAGAAACTCCTTTTCAGACACAACCCCTTTTTTTGGGAAGACCTTCTTCAGGACAAAGTGGTTGTGCATTCAAAAGCATACCTACTGTTTCTAATTACGCTAGGTGGTCTTATAAATGGTGTTGTCAATAAACCTTGCTTTTTCTTACTAAGATATTTGGAATATAGCTGGTACCAAAGGCCTAAGAGCTTCCCAGCAGCAGAAATCTCTGCCATAAGCCACGAGTCATCTCAAGTCTTCAAAGCCCACTTTTTTTCTTAACAGAATACAAAATCCATCACAAAGTTTATGCACATGGGTTGAGTATATGTTTCAAGATGTGTATGTGTACCTAGGTACATACAAGCACCTTTTCAAATGGTAGCACTTCATTGAGAGAGAGGATTGGAACCAAGGACAAAAAGAGCCAACACAAAGGAAAATGTGCCTGTGAAATCCTCAAAGTTGGGGTTGAAAGAAATGTTTTAGTTAATGCTCATTCTCAGTTCTATATTGCACCAAACAAAATATGTTTTGGGGCCAGGTAAAAGTTAGTTAAATACTCAAAAAATCAACAGACAAGGATGAATTGCAAAGGCAGTTGGAGAAAAAGATTTACTTAGGGAAAGTGATTTGAAAAGTGCAATAAGAAAGGAAAGATTCAAACTTCCTTTCCAATACTTTTTAAACACTATCTCTTTTATTCAATGGAAAAAGACCATTAGTGATTTTGTTACTTAATGGGACTGGAGACAAATTAGGCAAGTGAGATATCTCTTAGCTCTGCTGTCGTCACTGATCTCAGTTGGCCTTCTTCCAACCTACACCCTTCTAGAGGAGCTGAGGGTCACCTCACTGTGAGAAATCTTGACATGTACATCAGACCCATATACTCAAAACCAGCTGCAAAAATATATATGACTATTTTGTTGCTGATGTGTTTGTTTACTAGTCAGAAATGGCAGCTCCTCAGTAAATCAGATTGTATGTCGATATAGCAAAAAATTAAAATACTGGGTGAAAGCAGGTTATTATTTACAGCTCTCAAACTGTGTAGATTTAGTAGACCAATTTTTTCTGTATGTAATTGCCTGCTGTATGGTTACTCCAAGGCTGTAATTAGTCCAATCTGTTATCTTCATCCTATAGTTTTTACTTTATGACTTGGGAATGCTGAGTAGTTAATACATTTTAATTTTTCCTCTTTGACTGTACTCTGAGAAAAAGACATAAATAACTCCTTCTCAAGAATGTAGCATCTCTCTAACTCTGTTTAACAGCAAGGTTAGTAGCTAAGGACCCATCTACTCTCCTTTGATGTCAATCTCTTCCTAATTTATATATGTAAAATTTGTATTGGGTCATAGAAATCAGAAAATTCAATGTATTAAGTTTACACAAAGTGCTAAAGATTTATAAAGAAAGAATGTTTACAGGTTAAAATTTACTTTGCATTTACTTGTTTTGGGCATGATTTCTAATTATTACAAATGAATTATATAAAAATTTGCATTAATTTTTATTTTTAGTCTTTAATATGAATGTCTCTCTTTGGACTTTATTTTTTTTAATAGACTGTTCATTTTTCTACCTACCACATATAGTATGCTATGTTCTAAAATGGTATGGTGGAATGTGGAGAATTTTGTTTTGGGGAAATAATAAATTCCTTTGGCTCTGTACGAAAGGCTTTATTCATCCCTCAGGTGCATGATCATTATCTGGGTCTATCTTGGCTTTTCCCTTAATTTAAACAAGAGCCACCAACTGTAAATCAGCTTTTTTTGCTTACAGACACATGTGCAACTTGTAGATGTGCAGTCTCTTACATTAAAAAATGTACTAAAATTTCAGTTTCTAAAAAAAAGTTATGAAGAGTTAATTAATTATTCAAGAAATAAAATTAACACTGATTCCAATATCAAACAGTTTTTCTTTGCTGTCAGGGTGAAATTCAGTCTAACCTGAGAGGAAAATATGAGTCTTATTGCAATTTCTGGTTAAGTTGTTGAAGCTGCTATGCCAGAACACCATGTATGCCAAAGCATCTTAGTGGAGCATCATGCATGCTTAAGAGACATGTAGCATGGATTCTCAGCTGCTAAATACAGATAATTACACAAAGCTTCTCAACAAAGTATCTATTTTGTATGGGTTGGAAGCTCATCTCCCTACCACATGAGCTCATGGAATGGTCCCTCTGACCAGGAAGCATACTTACAGAAAAAAAAATAGTGAGTAAACCTCTTACAAAGGGCTTTTTCATGCACAATGTTTTACTAAAAATCATAATACACAGATAAGTGGTACTCAAACATTCATACAGGCTGCTATCATTCTTTCCTCTCCAGTGCAACCACTGCATTTACCTGAAAAGCTGTGCTAAAACTCAATATGCCTTACTTGCAGACACAGGGATGTTTCCTTTCCAATCCACTTGTGCCTTAGCACCTGGGTGAGTGTCTTTGGGTAGGCCCTTGCACTGCTCTCTGCATTCTCACTTTCCACAGGACACCACTATGGCCAGTCCCTCTAGCTCTCCATCTATCCTTTCGTCCTTGGTATTCAAGGGAGCCTGTGCAGCATGCAGTTAAAATGAAAATAAAAAATATGTGTCTCTTCCCTGCTCCTCCTGAGGTAAACACCAGCTTTGTTCTCCTGACCTGTAACAAAAGGCAGAGGTCAGAAGGACAAAATCCTCTGAGCTGGAGTTCATTTGTGCAGTGTGTTAAATGTCATTAGGTCTCATTGACTTCTCCAGGCTTTTCCCAAGGGGTTTGTCATTAGCAGCAGAGATCTATATTTAATAACTATTTAAGTGCTGTTATGGTATTTCTTGAGATGCACTGGAGAAAAGTATATATACTGAAGAAAATTATTCACAGCATTGCATTAGGAAACTATTTTGTGTTGTCTCATGGAAAGCCATATATACATAGCAATGTTACAGTGCACATTCCTGTACAGAGCATTACTACATTACCGAGTCTTGCTTAACATCCCAGGCTCAGAATCAGTTTGGCCACGATATCCTGCAAGAGACAGTGACTTTGGAGTGCTACATATGAGACACCTCAGGCAGACCTGTCTTTCAGAAAGTATTAAATCTCTGCCATGAGCACACGTTTTGGAGGACTGAAATGGACATCCAAACTTCGAGACCCAACAGAATAGTCTTTTAGAAAACTTTGGCCTTCAGGAACACTGATGTAATTCAGGATTAATGCCATTGAGCTGAAAAGATTACAATAACAAAAGAGCAATATGAGATTGGACTTAGGCCTCCAAAGTCTAAAATCTCCAATATATATTTAAAGAGAAATAACTTACTCCAGCATTTGGAAAATGCGGCCTATTGAAAAGCATGAAACCTCTAAAATGTTATTTGAATGCCAGAAAAGTAATACTTTAAAAAGCCAAGACAAAAATGCAAAGAGGAACAGAAAGAAGTGAGCCAGAAATGCTAACACGTTCATTTGCACCCTGTCTGTGAGCTGGGTGAGACCCGCAGCTCCATGGGCATCTCTGGGTATTAACTGACGGACAGTCCCTGCCCTCAGTGACATGGTGTCATCTCACAAAATAGAAATATGGACATATGCTGGACTTAAAATAAGGTTCCTAACTAGAAAAAATACCAACTCAAAACCATGCACCTTCTGACGATACCTACATTTAGCTGTGACTTTGTACCCGCCCAGCGGAGGGTCGTGGCCTTCCACAGCATCGAATCCTGCTGACACCAGGACAATCTCTGGATCAAACTCATTGGCAGCTGGCATAATCACAGTCCTGTAGAGTGAAAAAAAACAACCCGTTAAAAATTAAAAGAACTTCTCTCTTCATGGTATAAATTGCCACAAACTCAAAAATCCGCAACACAAGATATTTTCTTTTAATTAAACCAGTCTTCATGGTAGCTGTCCAAAACCAAACAAAGTCTAAGGCTTCGATTAATTTCTTTCTATAGTCACGCTTTTTTCTTTTCTACGATTGAGAAAAAAAAATGCAGGTACATGTGAAAGCCTCTAATATTACACACACATCTGTGTCTGTTTTATCCTGCTGCCTATAAAAAGCTGCCTCTTCCAGGGAAGTGACTAATGGTTTACAGAGAGCACTCAAAGCCTGAGTGGAAACCCGGACTGCTCCAGTTAGTGCGAACTTGGTGTAAATTTGAACTATAAATTTCTTTTGGGAAAATGTTTGCTTTCCAAACTTTTTTTTTTCTTCTTAACATTTTTAAATGTTTGTCGAGGTGGGGGGTGACTCTAGCAAAGGAAAAACATGAAATTCCCTTAATCAAATCCAGACTATGTTGTCAAGCCTTTCCAAGGTCAAGCATAACAGGAATGTGACAACCACAAACTAGTGACAGCAACCCCTGCTGGTGTCAGGAAGATAATTCAGCCCTTCGCAGTCACAAAGATTCCACTTTTTTAACCCTTTCCTTGACAAACCTCCATGGGGATATTTTGTCGTTTTGTTTTCATACTTCTCCAAACTCAAAGCATTAAAGATGTTTTGAAGGAGAAGATAAAACCCTGCATTCTGCACTCGCAAATGCCTTCTTTCAGGCTGACTTTCTGAAGGGAAGTTGTCAGGGTGGCTTTTACAGTAGTACAACAAATGCTGAGCCTGCAATAACTGTGCTAATTCAGAGGGACATCACTAACATTAAAATGCAAATACACAAATGAATGTTCTATTCCAAATATATTAACTCAAGGAAATCCCAATTGGTCTACACTGGTCAAAATCTGAAGGTCAATTTTGCGCATGTATAATACTATTTGTCTTAGTTCAATATTTATTTATTTATTATTTAATCAACTTAGGCCAAAGAGATCATGTTTTTGTCAAAAGATTAAGGTTTTCTGTGGGGAAAAAAAAAATATTAATAATATTTTTACAACTCTCTAGGTTTTTCTTTAGTTTAGTTTTTGATCTGTGTTTTATAAACTTTATTTTGTTCTGATTTCCTCAAAGGTAATTTTAGTATTAGGAAAGTGTTCCTTTTACTTGTTAGTCAGAGAAAAAGAGAATTCAGACTAAGTAAAAAGTCTTTGTCAGGACATACAGCATTTCAATGAATATCATTTTATATTAGAAAAAAAGGGTAGAGGCAACTTCATTTTTCTGGTGATTTCACTGAAATTGCACCATGAATGTCTGCAGGCAAAGTGATACAATTTGTAAAATATTCCGGTTTTTACATGTGATTAGTAGGCCTCTGCTGAAGTATGGATGGATTCCTGTATTGAGCACTGCACTTCAGGCAGGACCTAGACCAACTTGAGAGAACAAAAGGAAAGAAAACAATTCTAAAAAATGTGACCTAAGTGGATAAAATGATGGAATTATAATTATTTGATTCACATAACATGAGAGTAAACATGATTAAAGTACACAAATATGTAAGAGGTTGTTGCAAGAGGAAGGAAATAACCTGTTCTGTATTTCCACTGTGGATAGGACATGAAGTAGTTGCAGCAGGAAAGCTGTAGTTCAGACACTGGAAAAAGGTTTTTAATAGTAAAGACAGATAATCATTTCAATAAAATGTTTGAGAAAATTGAAGAGTATCCACCTCTTTGAGTTTTTTTATAATAGATAAACCAAATATCTATCAAGCTTGCTACAGGTTCAAGCTGACATGGCCTTGAGGCAGGAGGTCAGATTACTTCTCTTCTAGGTCTTTTTCCTATAGTTCCATGATATATAACTATATAAGACACAAAGTACACATGAATAATTACATTAGACACTACAGTGACTGAACATTTTTGCAGGCTAATGTCCACAAAGTTAGGGAACAATATCAGGAATAAAGATCTCCTAAGCAACCACATCTTATCTTTCTTATGTACGTACCTTCTGATACTCTAATTATATGTTCATTGTCTGAAGCAACACATATTTCCCAAACTTCCCCACGTCTGCAACACATATGGCATGGATCCTGATTAGTGATGAGGACTGTGGCTGATATGCAATCTTGATGTGTCCCCATAGCACCATATATCTTACACACTGAAAGAAGGAGGGATCCTATGGAGAACCCTCTCTATCTGCAGCCACTTGAGTTTTGCCCTCCTCCTCTCCATTCACTTTTCCTCAAATTCAAGTCAGGCTCTGTTTTTTATTTCTTCATGTCAAATAAAATGACAGCACCATGGAGTACAGCATAGATAATGCTCAGGAGTGAGATGATGGAGTGTGTTCAGTGCAGACGGAAGCTCTGGAAACTCAGGTTGCTGAGCATTAACAAACCTAACCATGCTTACACAGAATGAGACTTTTGAGAGTCTTATAATTTGGAACATTGGGAAATCTTCCACACTTCTACCACATTTCAAGACCTTGCTCAAAAGCGTAAAGATGTCAGCACATTTTTTTATAACTTGGGCAAAACAATGCATTTGACCCTTAATCTCACTCTTAGAAGCAGCAAAAATTGTTTAGCCACAGTTTCTTCAAAATTTTTGTCAAATAAATATGTCTGACATGAAAACTGCCAGCCACACTGGGTAACATTAGTAAAATTATTAAATACTGAAAGCAAGGGCTTTCAACACAAAGCACCAGGAATAGCTATTAACACCATCTTTAATAGTACTGAACAGGAAATAGTGGCATATTCATAAATCTCTACAGAAATGATATATAGGAATCTCAGCTAAAGGAAGGAGAAGGCAAAACCAATAATAACCAGAGGTGGCATTTAGAATTCACTGTTCTGTTACTGCTTGTGGTATCACCTGAATTCACATGACTGAAATAAGACCTAAGAGGGCTTTTCTGAAAGAAAGATTTTTTTTCTTTTAAAAATGTACACAGTGTCTGTTAAATTTCACCAGAAGAATAGCACCCTACTTTTGCTACAATACTGTCTCACAAATTATGACAGAACTTTGCTGCTGCTACTCTGCATACTACATACCAGAAGAGCTAACCTATGTGCCCACAAGACTTGTGTCATTCATTTCTTTCATCCTCCATAATATTGAGGGACTTGGAATGTCAGAGCTTGTCCATTTTACACTGTTCTTGATTTAATACTGAACAGAAACTCTAAGGACTTCTTTTTAAAAAAGACATTATGGAAAATGTAATCTGTTTACTAGGATAGCAAGCTTGACTCTTCTCTAAAACATCTCAGGGTGTCTGTGGTCCTTGTTACAGCAGCCAAGACTACTATTTTGTCTTTCAAAAAAGATGACAGCCACAAGTTTCTCAATTGCAGAGAGGACCATATAGACATCTAGTTCCTAAATCTCTGATCCAATCTTCCTCTACATTAACCAACAGGCATTTAAGGTTGCTCCTCTTTTGAATAACTACTTTGAGATCTCTGCTCAGAGAGGAGTGGCTTAATGTCTGGAAAACATCATAGCATTTTGTTTTGGACTTTGTATAGGTAGGACCTTTCTAACCTTTGTCTTGCCTTGGCAGGAACTCCTTTGTAGCACAAAACACACGTGTGAATTCCTTCACAAAAGTGACAGATACTTTCTCATCTTATGAAGTGCTATAAGTAATCATATACATATATTTTTAAATATGGACTAAATTTCACCAGGACATAAATACAACCTTTTGGCATTTGCCACCTCTCAGGCTTCAGCACCTTCATTATCCCTGAATAACTGTCTTTAGAAAAATGTTTTGAGGTTGGTAGTTGTAAAGAAAACCTACACAAAGCACTAGATTCCATCCCTTTTTTTATTTGAGCAACCTGAAGCTCACGTCTCCCAGTTAAACAGGCTTCTCCTGCCTCAGGAGGGTGAAAACAGTTGGCCAGGCAGGGACGGCTCCTGACCCTTCACTGTCTCTTGGGAGTGGAGAATCATCAGACCCTGTATCTTGCTCCTTTTCCATCTCATCTACACTCTGGAGTGCACAGCAAGGCGGAAGAAAGAGAAATCATTCATCAACCACCTCCTCAGGAGCTCCATAACCATAGCACTTCCCTTCTCAATTGCTTAAGAACAGAATCCTCTGAATCAGATCATAATAGAAAATATGCTTTTTTTTAAAGCATACAACTAGCATTGGTCATACACTAACAGATATTCATGTTAACCTTCCCAAATTCCTCAGACCAACCCTATGCTTAGAAGTCAGGCTGCAGCTGGCAGGATTTGTTACGGTGCAAAGGGTCAAAACTCTGCTCATCAGAAATCCTTTGCAAGGATGCATAGGCAGCCTGCACTCAGACCTAGGTAAGAACAGTTATTATCTTACTTGCAGCAAGAGTAAGAAATATGATTTGGCTTCTGACCATAGGTCATCAGACAGGTATGGCCTGGGGACCGGCAGGTCATCAGCTTCCTGCTTGAAGCCAGCTGGGCTGCAGGGGTTATCAGCAAACAGAATTTAATGCCGGGATTCTTCTCCAACAAAATGAGTAGTTTTTGTCAGAAGAGAAGTGTATTTTATTCTTCAACTATGACTCACACTCTCCTCTACTCCTTTCTCCAAAGAAAATAAAATACATAAAAGATATTTATTTTCTGTGATCCTGAATCATATAGAAGCATAAATATTTGGTATACCATATTCACCTAATGATGACAGCAGAGTTCCAGAGGCATCTTGCCTGGCTGACTGTTTCTTTCTTTTCACTCACATTTTCATTAATAAACATGTCAAAGCCTGAAAGCTGGAGCAGCTGGATCACAGGAGTTATTTATCTATGCTAAACCTTGCAGTTACAATGAAACTGTGTCCTCCAGCCCAAGGTAGTGCAGATCTCCCTTCAAGTCTGATGGTACTAGGAACAGAGCATG